AATAGCAATGGCCTCCACCCTAGTAGCGATGGCCTCCAACCCAATGGCAATGGCCTCTAGACTGGTAGCAGCGATGTCCTCCTCTACCCCAGTAGCGATGGCCTCCATCCCAATAGCAATGGCCTCTAGACTAGTAGCCTCGATGTCCTCTACCCTAGTAGCGATGGCCTCCAACCCAAAAGCAATGGCCTCTAGACTAGTAGCAGCGATGTCCTCCACCCTAGTAGCGATGGCCTCCAATCTACAAGCGATGTTTCACTGATCCGCCTGGGAAACCACCAAACCCTCGCTGTTCACGGTGTACCGCAGCTGGCCAGACCTGAAGATGAAACTGATGCCGCTGACACGAAGAGGAGAGGTGCAGCAAGCAGAGTTTGCAGGCCATCGCTCCTAGGGTGGAGGCCATCGCTAAGGTTGGAACAAGTGTATTACTAGTAACAAGAAGCTACTCGACACCTTCATGGTCTTAATGAATGGGTGTCTGAGATGCTCTGGGAACCTCCAGGTTTTTCACTTTTTCTACTTTATCTTGACTTGTGGGTCTGGATCTACCCTATGTTCCAGTCATGTGTCATGGCCTCTTGTCAAGCTTAGAATCCAGAAAACCACAGGACTCACCATCTTTTCCTGCCAAACTTGGTGCTCTGGATGTTTGATAGCCCCACATATGCCTCCCTGATCTATCACGAAAACACCCCTCAACCTACTAGCGATGGCCTCCAACCTAGTAGCTTCTTGTCATAGGACTTCTATCTTGGATGACCAACATCTCTGCATCTCGGACGCCCGGCCAGGGAGCAATCTTGGGGCGCCAGGGCCTCTCGGGCTGCAGAGACCCCTCGGCATGTGGGTGTGTATTTGAGGGAGACGCCCCTGGCCCTGGCTGGGTAGACTGGTCTATTCTACACAACTTTGAGGGGATCGGAACGCCGGACGGAGGTCTCCCTATTTTGAGCTACACAACCCATGTAAGGATACTTTGAGGAACTCAGTTCCAAGCGATGTGCTTGGCGCACACTCAACACACCCAACAAGCATGGTCAAGAACTGCGTGAGGGGACCCACCAATGACTATGGGTCTTCCTTGAAGAGCTTCAAAGGAGGATGCTCACTAGAGACCTATGTAGAGCGCACGAAAAACTCCCCAAACTCACGGCATAACTCTGATTGCCATGGTAGATGCGCCGCTTGGAAGTGCTCGGTCTGTGCAGGAGGGGGCAAGCAGGGCCGTTTGAAGACAGGTGAGGCAAGACATGCTATGAACTCTTTGAAGATCTGTTGCCTGTTGGCCAACAGAATCACTCATTTTGAGGCCAACAAATCTTCAATACAGTTCATCGCATGTCTTGCCTCACCTCTCTTTGAGAACACAAGATCTCTTGAGTTACTAAGTTACCTGTGCATTTTGAGGCCTGAGAACTTGAAGAAAGAACACCTATCGCCTCATTCTTTTCGCATGCCCTGATGCAAGTAGACCGGTATAATATACTTCTATAGCTGTTTTTCTTCTCGAACTTGTGGACAAAAATTGTCCAATTTTGGATTTCTTCATGTTCATCTTTTCACCCGACTTAGATCCTGCCCACTGCTTGTGGAGGGGGACCGTCCCCACCAGCTCTTCGGCTCTTTTCCCCGGCCCTCAGGTGGCATAAAGCCCCACCCACCAACCCACCAACCAGTCGGGACACAACTTCAGCACACCACCAGCAATGTACTGAGCACGGATGGCGTTGGCGTCGCTCTCCAGCGAGATGTCCTGGAGCTTCAGGAAACTCTCCTGGGCCGAAGAACATCCAGTGATTCGCCTACTTCAGATTCCGGGCGAAGGGGCGCCTTTTTTCTTACTTCCTTGTATACTGCAGTTTGGGTGAAATACTGGCAACCCTAGTTGGTGAAACAGGAAGTCAACAAAAACCATCATTCGACCGAAAACCACGAGCCCAACACGAAGACTTCTGCACCACACGTCGCCACACGTCGCTCCTCAGGGTCGAACAGCACGCTGAGCGCCTGCCGGTAGCGCGCCAAGCCGCTGACCGCGTTGTTCGGGTCTTCGAAGCGACAGTCATCCGCGAAGACCGCGGTGGTCAGGTTCCCGGTCAAAATGTACTTGCCTGCGCTTGTCGACACGCCATGGCATGGTGTTTGAGGTGAAGACATGCGGGGCATGTTCCGCTCCAACACGCCACATTTGTCCATCATGACGGGTAAAGCAATTTCCATTTGGTCAAATGATGCTTTAGATATATAACAATAAGAATAGAAAAGAATAATAATACAACAATAGTAATAATGCAACACACATGTGCATGTCTATAATTACACCATATACAGAACCCCTTTGGCTTCATTGACGCGCTGCCTCCTAAGTGAACTGGAGAGTGCCCCTTTGGTGGACACCACCCTTCACTGCGGCGGCTGCCTCAACCGTTTCGCTTACGGGTCGTTGTCCAAATACAGTCGACCGTCCCCGGACAAGTGAAAAGGACCGCTGGGATTCTCCAATGTTTTTTAAGGTCGCACGTAGTCTTGCGTGGAACCCAACAACTCAAGCTGCAAATCGATCGATTGTAATAGTAGGTGAACACCCACGCCGGTCACCTAAGAAAATGCTTTATGGACGGTAAGCTTGTCAGTGGTCTAACTGCTGGTTTTCAGGGCTTAGGTTGTTTTGATGTTCCTTCCCACCATGGGGGCCGAGTCCGAGTTCTTCATGCTTGCCACCATCCAATTCCGAACCTTCGGCCAAGTCTTGGCGCAAGACTTCAGCCAGTTCGGGCAAGGAGAGCTTTGTCCTGCGATGCTGTGCATTGTGCACTCAGAAAAAACAACACAAACCTGATCCAAATATAGTTATCCCTTTCTTTCCACTTTGTCCATCTGAAAACTGGCAGGCTGAAACTGTTAATTGACAACTATATAGATTTGTACTCTTCCAACATCTGAACAGTCGAACGCAAAATGAACTTCAGGAGAGCACCTGAGTCCCTGAGCGTCCTTTTGGGATCTTCGTTGGCCTTGTCTTGCCAAAGAAAGCCCCACTCCTTGCAGCTGCCGGTCTTTACGGCAAAGGTGCCAGGCAAAGTTGAAGGTCAAAAAGCAATACCGGACACTCCTAAACACTCAAAGCATGAGGCCACCTGTCTTTGTATATACATCGACATGTTGCTGTATAGTTTAGAATATTCTAGAAATCCAACATTGCCCGACAAAAGAGAGTGGGAAAAAACACTACTTCCTCTCTCTATGTGCGACAAAATCATGGTGATTCTTGGCCCTCTTTGGTTCCTTTAGGGTGGGTGGGACATGGTGGGACCATGACAATCCCTAATAGGTTCATAGTACCATAGACTTTGTCCATTGCTCAATATAGGTTGGAGGCCATCGCTACTAGGGTGGAGGCCATCGCTACTACTAGTAGGGAGGAGGCCATTGCTACTGGGGTGGAGGCCATCGCTACTAGTAGCAAGAAGCTGGTAGGTTGGAGGCATATATGTCGAAATTAAGACCATGGCCTGGAGACGGCACTTTTTGCGCTTTTGTTGAAGCAATCTGACGTTTTGCCTTTCCAAAACAAATGCAGTGATGGCTTCTGAAGCCTCGCTGCAATTTTTGTTCGCTGGCTACTGTAGTCGCCGTTGTGCGTCAAAGGATTTGCGCCAGTATGCGGCATGCGACAACTCCAAAATCACATTTGCAGAAATCCAAAACCTGACTGTCCTAACCAAAATATAGACAAGCTCTGGGCCAAGCATCAAAGGGCCTTTCGGACACAGGCACTGCATATGCTGGGGTGCTGAGAAATGGCAAGAGTCCTGGCAATCGTCTAACGAATCTTGTCTTGAATGTGATTCAAAAGAGGGGACCTCAACTTTCTTAGCCAGTCGTTTGGACAGCAAACGCGCTTGGAGAACAAGCACTCTTATCAATCCACCATGTCTTCGCTGGCTGATGGGGTGCGAGAGAAAAGGCAGCGAAGCCACGATCATCCAGTGTGGCGGAAAAGCATTTGCATGATTTTGCACGTGGGTAGTCCGATCACATCAGCCCGACCGAAGGTAGTATGTCTATCACTCTGCACGTGCATGTCAGGCGGAGTCACGGTTTGTGTATTCAGGATGGTATCATGGCTCCTCAATGACTCTGCATCCAATTAGCGAATTGTGGCCTCCCTAAATTGGAGCATCACAGAACTCCGTTCCACTTGGCTGAGCGAACTGAGGGTGCCCAGACATGAAGCAAGGACCTAGACTACGCCTTTTCTGGCAAACACATGCAACTACGGCAAGAGAGACATCGTTTCGCTGTGAGACACAGCCTTTCGCTGACCAAAAGCAAGGCCACGGTGCAGTAGAACCATGCCATCGACGACTCCACCATCGACTTCGCCCTAAAAGCCTCGCACCGCAGAGGGACGCAGCCTCCCCGGCCCCAAAAAGGTGAACCACCCGGGTCCTGCATGCCTGCGATAGAGGTTTGACTTCGGATCTGCACCACCTGCAGCATTTTGGTCCCAAAAGGACTTTCATGTGACGATGTTCACAGGTGGTGAGGGGGTCAAGGGAGGGTTGCCACTGAAATGATGTCTGCTCAGTCTGCACTCATCAAAGACGAAACCTCGCTTTTGAACCAGCTTTCAGATCACCGTCGCCGGAAAGCTTCCGTTTCGCAGACGGTGTTCGATCAAAACACAGTGGAATGGAGAAGAATTGGCAAAAACAAGTACACTTGTAGATTCAGCAAATATTCCAATTGCAATCGAGAACGATACTAATTAATCGAGTGGCGCCTTGTTCGTGCGGGCCAGTCCAGGTTGCTGCCCAGGGCAGTAGCCACAAAGCCCAGGCACTTTTCCGTGCCATGGTGCAGACCGGGGTGGTTTTCAGGCAACGTCTGAAGGTGGAGAGGCACAGGCAATCACGGCGGGTTTTGACAGGCGTGTTACACAAATATCTCAAATCCTTAAGAGTATTGTCTGCACATGTCTGGCGTGACCGTTGAAGAGTTGTGTGTCTTCTGGTCTTTCTCCTCTGCTTTCAATCCACAGCAAAGGAAGAACTGACAGGTTTGATGCTGCTGAGGCTGTTTCTCTGGAGCCCGTCCCTTCTACGCTTGTTGGATCTCCAGTGTTGACTGCAAGTGTTCTTGTGATGTGCAGCCAATGGTAGCTCAGCCAACGAATTCAAAATGGTTCTTGAATCTTTCATGCTGAGAAGGCAATGTCTTGCTCTTGCTTGTGTTCTCAACCCTGGCTGGTGGAAGCATAGATGGATGTCGCAACTAAGTGCTATGATTGGCTATGATGAATGATGAAGCATAACAAAAGAAACACAAGCTACTAGGTGTCATAAGTGACTCTGGCAACATGGCACTTCGTACAGACGTGCAAATCATCTTTCCCAACACTTTCTGAATAAGAATCCCAGAAAGCAGCCACTGCAGCTAGCTACCACTAATGCAAACTCTTGATTAATATTGATCATTCAACACCCCATATAAAGAGGGTTTTCACTCCAAATGGGGAGGGTTTATTAATCCTCCAACTTTTCTTTTTTCTCATCTCCGCATCTGCTGGTGCAAGCACCTCAGTTGAACAGACTTGCACTCCAGAAGATCCTTGCAGACCGCGGATCAACCTACTACCTAACACAGATTCGCCCTAAACCCGCTGCTTCCGCCCCAGCCAAGTGGACCGATATTGGGCTGGCGCCCCCAGGTGCTTCGGCCAGTCGGTTCATCGAACATGGGTATTGTCACGTGCCAAAATCGCTCCGTCCAACTGGTTGCACCCATATTGGAGTGGCTGACTCTGGCAGAATAATTGGACTGGCTCCCCCAATTGCGAACACGGAGACATCACATGCGAGAAACGGAAGGTTCCCAGACACACGGAGACATCACATGTAAATGGATGCATCTTGTTCAGCACCTCAAAGTGACACAGTTTGGAACCTGTTCCAGAACCTCTTGAGGTTTTCCAGGCGAGTCATTGCTTTGGGTGGCGAAGAAAAAGAAAGACATCGATCACTGGCCTCTTGCCAAGCTGCATGGCCCCATAGATGCTGCGCTGCTTGGATGGATGGTCGATCTCGGCACAGCGGACCCTCGTGCCAAGCGGTCACAAAGTAGTTCCGGTCCTGACGACGGAGCTACGGTGAGCTACGCAGACGCTCCGTGAAAACAGCTTCGTCCGGTCCCTCAAAAGGTATGGAGACGACTGAGACCCCAGACCGATTCGGGTCCAGGGTCGCGTCTGGGTAGTTCTCCAAAAGTCACCGCCCTAAGACTCCGGGCCCGAACCAACCAATAGGGTTTGGGGGGCCCGGGTCCGAGCCATCTGAGGGCCCGGGTCCGAGCCATCGGCTTTCTGACCCGGTCCGGCCTGGATGAGGATGGTTAGTCAAGGGTCCTTCTCAACACAAAATAGCTATCATCTTTGACCAACTCTTACTGCTAAGACTCTTACTGGGCACCCACCGGAATCCTCACACCAGACCACCCCGGGGCTTTACAATCGGATCGGATGGACGAAGATCGGATCGCGGGGTCGGTCAGGAGCCCCGTGCGGTGCGTAGTACCTATATACGCCCCGGTGCGGTGCGTCCGATCGCATCCCTCAGGTGATGGCATCAGATGGGTTCCGCGAAGCACCAACGGAGGTCCAACGGATTGGACGGATTTTTCGGAAGCCTTGGAACAGCCCGTCAGCACTTGTGCTTGCCACATCCAAGGTCTATGACAACACGGCAACTAGACCTTGCAATCAACGAAACAACTCTGGAATGAACACACAGTATGTCATCATAGATGATCAAGATGTCATCATAGTATGCGTGTGATGTTCGTAGTGTTGATTTCTTCGGATTGTTCAAGGATCTTGACAAACCATCCACGAATCCAATGTAGTAGAACATTCGTCGGTCCCTTCAAGCGCCCCCACCCAAGCAACCCTGTCCTTCTGCAGGCGTGCCTTGGAGATCGGCTCTGAGAACACAAAAAGAAACCACCACATGAGCCTTCTGAAGCCCTGGTTGGCCAACCAACCAATCCATGGGCTTTGATCCACGACCGAGTTCATCCTTCCAAGTGCATCCTTCCAAACGTCCAACCAGTTCCAAACGTCCAACCACGCGGCAGGAACCGCCGCCAAGGGCATGACGTGGATGCCATCTGAAGCCACGGCATGGTGGTGGCCTGTGGGTCACCAGGAGGTCAAACTACGTGGTCCACCCCCAGGGATCCAGGGATCCAAACCCATCCCCATATGGCATAGGTGTTTTTTGTTGCTCAGAAGAAGCACCTAGAGAGGTTGAACAGCGCTATATCATATGTGCTTCTTCTGAGTATTTCAGCACCAAAAAAGCCCAGCTCTGAAAAGATTGAATGTGTCCCAGGGCGAAAGGAGCTCGAATGACTCCAATCGCCCCAATTGGCACTCCAGTGACTCCAGTCTGCTGTATATAAATCCACCCGTTGCTCACCGATGCGAAGGGGCCGTTCTTCTCGACCGATGCGAACGGGAACAGTTCCCCGATTGGCGAATCTGAGCCTTCTGACTGATGTGTTTCACTTGCAATATAGAAAAGGAACTGAGGGCGAGTGTAGAACGGAAAAGGAACTGAGGTGTTAGAACATGTTATAACACTCTATAGTGGGATACTGATATATATAACACCCTACACTGACTGTAATCTGTCTAGTTCCGTGTCTTTGTTGCGTGTATCACATTCCAGTACTCAAATCTTTTGCTCTCAGCCATGTGTTCTACTTGCTCTACTCTGGTCATTTGAATCCGTTCTCATTCGTGCTTTGGAAGCTTGTGGGGGACTGGCTGCCATAATCAAACTATGTGTAGTTATTATGTATTTATGCTTTGGGTTGTGATATTTTGTTGGTAGACACCCACATAGACCAGTGCATGTGTCTATTTTCCACAGCAACCTGGCACGCAAATCTAGCTGCAAATACCTTAGCCTTCTATATAATACATTTTGAAACACATGGGTCCAAATACTTTATATGTGCGTTATTCGAGCATTGGCTCGATTTACCTTGACTGAAATCCTCGGCCCTCCTAGCTGTATCTGTCTATCATGCCACGCAAATCTAGCTGCAAATGCGCGTCTGCGGCTGCGGGACACAGATTTCAATCACCAGTTTGGATTTGTTCATATGTGGTGGGTACATATCCTACTATCTCATTGATTTAGTATGTTCATATATTCATTCATTTTCTCGCTAGCCGATCCCACGACATGTCATCAAAAGAAGAGTAGACTTCCCGCAAGCGCGGGCTAAGGCAACTTTGTTTACCCTTCATACGCAAAGCATCCATGTATGGAATAGCTACATACATTTATCCAGTAATGGCCTTAATGTAGGCAAAATACAAGAAATAACATCCATGGATGGTTTGGCACAAAAACATGTTTAAGCATTTCAGGTTTAGGTGGATTAGAGAAAACACCCATCTGTTCAAAAAAGTGAGCCTTGAGCCGTAAGGACAGTCCTACGGGTACTTGTGTGTACAGGCTCCTCCATGGTCTCCTCCAGGCTCCCACGGTGCTCTGACTGCCATCCGAGCCACGAAAAATCTCCATGAACGATCGAATCACCTGTTCCTGCGGATGAAGTTGGTCGAACCCTCGGGGCAACAAATGCATGGACAGAACACAACAGTTTGAGAGAGTGCTGTCAGCGGGAGTTTCGATGTCATGGGTGAGGGTGCTGGCTGGGTGAAAGGAGGCCGCTGTTCCGAGGCCGTCGGCGACATGTTTCTCGTGGCCTTTCGGGCGGGCGTTTGGAAGATTCCGTCAGCCCGGAGCCGAAGAAGACACCAGAGCCACATCCGTCAGCACATGCTATGATGCTACAATGAGGTGACCCAGTGCGCTTCACCAGGTGGCTGTCAGCCAAATAATATATAGGTATGGATCAGCAAGTTTCGGCAAGTAAATGAACAAACTAGTAATATTATGTATTATGTGTTTTTAAGGAGGCCACGGTGGCAACATCAGGTCGCAACATCGATTATGTGATAGGATATTGATATATCATATCTAATGGTCAATGAGTGTAAATGATATAGCTGACATTCATATATAGCTGGCCTGGGACCGCGGTCGAGCTTGCCGAGGTGCTGTCGAGACTTCCGCGAACTGGCCGATGCGCACTGCGCTGCTCATCACGTGCACCAGGCAAATCCGGCCCTCGAGGCAGGAGACATGAGGGAGAAGGGGTTGGGCCAGCCATTTCGGGTGGTGATTGGAAGACAGTAGAAGGAACATACATAGTCAGGGTGGCTATACACAATCCTTTCCGTGGTTCATGGGCTTATCATGGCTTCTTGACGTTTATTGTTAGCATCGTAGCACTGGGCCCATCGCACCCTGGGCCCAGCGTAGCGAAACGCATTCGATCGCTCCGCCGACGTAGCGTAGCGTAGCTTCTGGTTTCGGGTGCAGTGGAGTGTCTGCATGCGGCTCAGTCCACCGAAGGCTGCTCAGAACCAAGTTCTTTTTGGGGGACGCGAAACGCGGATCAGTGTATTTTTGTGAACCCTTGTGCCGAGGGCAGATCTATCTCTTCCAATCCAAAACCTCATGCTCTCGCTTCCGAAAGCGTCGCCCTGCCGGTGGCTCAAGGAATGTGAATCTTGGTGAGTGCTCCAAAGCATCATTTGATAAGCGCAAGTGACATACTTTGAGCTTCAACCAGTTTGTGTTCACCACTTCACATCTTTATCCCAGCCGAGCAACTTCGGATAAGGACTCCTGAGCACCTCGAAGGACTTCCAATTCGCTGCCTGGCCGATCAAAGATTGACTGAATGAAGCAAACAATGCGTTTGGGAAGATGCTTCCCGGAAGTCCAAAGATTGCCAACCTCAATGCAACCACATATCATGATTATATCACCCCTCCAGAAAACCAAAAAAAACACATGCACCGCTCTTTGCCGGAGGAAAAAAAAAACACGTTTCTTCCATTGATTCTCTAAGTGAGCCGTGTCAAGAACCATAGTCCAATCTTAAGTCCTAGCTAAATTCTTTCATATTGGAGTATGACATAGTATGACCTTGCTCTAAGTGTCTTTTGGGATCCTTTTTGGGTCGATCTCTATCCACTCGACCCGGAGTCGGAGTCCGAGCTCGGGCGGTCACGAGGTCACGCGGGAACCAGGGCGTCGTTGTTCGGTCGTTCGGTCGCTTGACACTGGCCATCCGGCCAGGTGGCGGTCGTGCGGCGCCTTGCACATGAATTTTGATGATGTCCACCACGTCACCACCCTGCAGCAGGTGGTCCAAGGTTTCCATCCAAACCTCGGTTGAAATCGGCACTAGATTCGTCACTAAACCGAATGGCTTAAGAATCCGGGCCCGGGCCCAACCTCTTGGCAGTCGGACCTTCTCCAGCGAAACGCAGGGGTCCGGGCCCGAAAGCAAACCCTTTTTGTTTGAGGGCTTGGATTCTTAGGGTGGCTTCAGTTTCCGTGTTTGATTGTGTGTGTGGGGGGGGCGCAAAGGGGAAGGACACAGTGGCCACACAGCATGTGACCGGGATCTTGGGCTGGGCCCTTGGATGGCCTCCGAAGTCAGACTTGAGGAAATGGCATGAAATGGCATCGCTTCGAGAAAGGTCAGGAGGATTCTTTAATTGGACTTGAAGCGATTGGTGAACCAAACAAAGTTATGTTATATCATATCCTAGAATATCCTGGAAAATTTACTACATGTTAAAGTGTTCTAGCTAGAATATGGAATGAAAAACGATGATAAATGATTGCTCACACTGATCTTTGGATTGTTTCTACACCTTTGGATACGATGGTTTCCGCTGCGTCTCTTCTTATGACCTGTTTTTCCATGCGTCTCGACGCATCAGTTGCGGGGTGGTGGGACAGGAGGGACGCCCTTCGGCCCACCTCTCAGGGCCACGTGGGACTCCCACCGATCCAAAGTCGATCTACCCTGCATGAAGAAAAGCGCAAGAACAGTCGCAAAAAAGCATGTGGTCAATAACAAGCTATAGAGAGCCAATAACAAGCGGCAAAGCTCAAAAACGTCAAAAACCTCTGAACGGCCCACGTTTTCGCACTCAGCTGCGTACCTGCTGCACCTGGCAGAAGCCATCGGACGTCCATGGGGCTGAGTAGTCAGACCAAAGAACTGGAGAGTTTGTGGAACAGACTCTTTGCACCGCTTGGCACCGCTGGAAGATTGCCAGCAAACAAAAAACACCAACAGAACACCGAGGATATAGGGAGAGCAAGTGGAGCCCCTCCCTTGCTTCTCGAATTCGGTCAGCAGGGCATAGCAGGGGAGCTGGTGGGCAACGTCAATTCTTTCTATCAAACTGATTGTTTTGACTTCAGATGGGTGTGGGTCAAAACCCGGTAACCTTAACCCTGGTTGACCGCTGATCAACTGAGGGATGTCCACCCACCCGGATTTGGAGTTCCCGGTTTGACGCGGTCAGCCTTCGTGGATGACATGACACCATGGCCGGACCCAACTCCCCCCCTGGCGGTGCCAATCCCGAGTCAAGCCGGTTCTTTTACTCCAAACACCGCCCCAACCCAAAAAGAGTCTCCCCGCTTTGATACGAGTTCCGGTTTTTCCTGGTTTTTCCACGCTCCAAACAGGTGACCGGCCTCGCATTCGCCCTGAAAGCCATGGCAACCCAAGAAGGAGGCTTCGGCCGTGGAGCCCCGGCGGAGGTTGATCTCCTTAGGGCTCACCTGCGCCGGACAGCACGGGAACCGCTGGGACCTCGGACCTCCAGTGAAACCCGAAGGGTTTTGACATGGGGTGGGAAACCTCCAGTGTCTGTGACGCGAAGCTTCCAGAAATCTCCAACCTAGTAGCGAACCTTGCTCCTAGTAGTAAGGCCAGGAAGGAGCGCCCCGTTTGTAGCGTCCTTGCTACTAGTAGTAATGTCCTTGTTACTAGTAGATATATGCATCCATTGAAGCAAATCTCCGGTCTAAACGCGTCCAAACGCCTTCGGCCCCAGCGCCAGCGGCCGCACGAAGATCTGCGGCAGTTTCGTCGTCTGAGCCCGCTGGCGTTGAAGGAAGGCGCTGACCTGGTCACCACAGGTCAAAAGCAAAGAGCCACACAATCATGGCAGCTTGACATGCCTGTTTTTGATACGTCAACCACGTCATCCAATCCTCATTTACTCACTTTGATTTATATTGAGATACACTGGGTTAACAACCCTTTCCACAGGTTTTGACCCAGAATATCCAAGAACATAAGTATTACTTACATCAATAAAGACACCCTTGTGATGGTAAACAACATGAGCATGGTGGACTCACTAAAAATACCAAAGTAATTTGATATGACATTACTCTAACTTGTACCACTAGAGGTTGCTTCGACCATCCTTGCCCACGAGTTCTTGCCTAATTAATTAAGTCCAAGAAGCCAGGCTCAAAAACCATGAAACTTGATAGCATACCAAACCCCCACACATCAAAGCAAGGCACCAACCTCATGAACGATGATGTGCCTCACTCGAGCAAAAACACATCCAAAGCCCAAGGTGGGGTTCCAAGCAAACTCTGAAAGGTTGGAGGACCTGGTCACAAAGATGAGATGAAATCATGATTCTTATGCCAAACTATTCCGTCAAGCACCTGGTCACGTGATGTTGCTCTTAACCTAATAATGGGTCTCATAAAGATGTGGCCTCTACTTCCCTTAGGTCCCTTCTTTCGCTTCCTTTTTTCCATCGTTCTCCAGCCTCTCTCCGGCCATCGCCCTCCAAATCCTCCCTCCGGGGGGCTGCTGCGTTGGCCGAGACGACGGCATCCGCGATGGGTTCGAAGAGGGTCGCTTCCAGCGTCACTAAAGGCCGCCTCAGTCGAGGTGTCTCTTCGTCGAGGTGTCTGAACACATGTCCGGGATGGGTGGGAAGCAACAATCCGCGGGCGCCCAACGGTGGGTTTTCTGTGGAAGCCATTGGGGGATGCTGTGGAAGATTGTGGGATTCCTAGAGCTTGCCATATTGGTGCAGCCACTCCTACACCAAATCAGCTGCAGCCATGTTATTCCAAACCACTCCAGCTATTCCCAGTGTGCCTTAAACCACTCCAGCTAAATTCCGGCTCAGGGACGGCTGCGTACTGGAACCCCAGGACGAAACAAGGTGAAGGGCTAAAAGGCCTTGGCGACAAGCAGTTTGGGCCACGACAGCATAGGGGGCAAATAGATTTGCTTCTTCACCGATGATGTGGGCAAAACACCTGGACGTACATGTGAATACCCAAAGCTGGCCGAGAAAGTCCAAACCAATGATTTTGTCATCCCTATGGATCAACATACCGAACCTGAGAAGGTGATTGGAGACCATTTATGTAGGCGCCAGGAGGCTCCAATTGCCTTCTGATAAGGTATGTGGATCCAGAGGGATTTGGTCTTAATTCATGATCGTTTTCGGGTGTCTAGCCAGTCTAGATCAGTCTAGCTTTGACCCACACCCAGGGTTGCCACACCATCCGCACCATCATCCGAGAAAGCAATACAGTACTGTAAGATACTGTAAGTATACCCATGTGTTTTGCACCAATCCAAAATCCATCAATCGAAATCCATCAATCGAACAGTAAACGACTGAGAGCCAACAAGTCATGGGACACTCAAATGCTCTTTTTACATCTTTCTACTGACGGTTCAAATGCTCTTTGCGGTTCAGGCAGCCAAGGTACAAGTGTGCTTCTTTTTGGGACAATTACACTATTCACATGATATGTCTTTGTTGGTCTCATCCGCTTCTTGCGGCACAACAAACATGTACACTCATTGTGTTCTTTCTTTTTGAGCCGCAACGGCCCCGACATGAATTGGGTCAACTCCTTTGGGATTCTCAACGTCGTTCGGTCACGTCTCTGGTTCTCCAGATCCGTCCCCTCCAAGCTGCTGCAGTCGCCCATGTTGGCTCCAATCTCCCAGACCCGCAGGAAGGGTGGGGCGTCACGCCTAGCTGGGTAGTATGGAACATGGCCAAAGATACCATGAGCAGCTCATGAGCGTTCCAAAGAATGGCATGGATTAGCATTGTCCGACGCAAGATTCCTTATCTGCTTGACTCTTGAGGATGCTACGCCGGAACCTCCAAAGAAAATTACAGCAGCTGTGGACTATGACTGTGGACCTTCCCAAAACATACAGCTTCACAGCTCAACGCGCAAACCTTTTGAATAAGGCAACCACCATCGGCGCAGTCTCATCATGAAGCACCAGCTATAAGATCTAAAAGGCACACTCTCACAGGACATCCACGGACTGGGCGGTTGCGTGCACTGATTCCCACTACCGCCACCTTTCCGGTTTTCCACTGCCATTCCTATCTACGGTGATTGATGTGTTCGAACACAGACTGCTGTTCGGTTCAGTCGTACCAAACCGTGAAACGAAGGTTGATCCGTGGATCCAGTAATAAGATGTAATAAGTTTCCCTGCGAGCACTTCTTCAAGGAAGCTCCCCTTCTTCCGCCATAAAAGGGCGGCGCGGGGAGCTTCCAAAAAACGTGAGCTATCCTGCATCCAAGGTAGTAGCGTCCTGTACCTAGAAGCTAGCTACCTAGCTACCTAGCTAATCTACCTCTTCCATCCTCTTCCCTCTACTAGCGGCCTACCGCCGGGCTAAGTTCCGTCCGCGCGACGCTTCGGGTGAGGTCAGCTCGGCCGAGAGTTGCCACTGGGAGAGGAGAGCGAACCTGGGAGAGGAGAGCGGTGGTTTTGTGGTGGTTCTTCGCGTGGTGAGCCTTTCTTTTTGTGGTCCCAGAGGTTGGAATGAAAGGTCTTTCTGGCCATTGGGTTACCTTGAGCCATCTTCCAAAAAACCTGTGAATTCTGGCCTGTGTTGCGATCAGTTTTTGCTCGCGAAAAAGACTCTCCTATGAACCAACGATTTTTCATGGCCTCGAGTCTGGTGATTCGAAAACGGCGGACTCCGAAGCGTTGCCTTTCGAGTCCCTCGCAGCTCTGAGGGGTGAGAGGGCGATGTGAACCGATCTGGACGGACGGCCATCAACATGAAGCAACGCTGAAACCTGTCAATACGACTCAAACTGTGAAGTTGATACTGAAGGTTGATATATCCTGAATGCTGCGAACACCTGCTTTTTCAAGCTTGCGAACTAGTCGGTGTGGCCAAAACGTTAGATGGCGCGCCGTGATGGCACACGAAATGCCAAACACGTCCAACCGAACGAACTGGCCAAGGAACGTAGAGTAGTACATGGGCTCAAAGCAGAACGGCAAACGAGTGGCCCTGTTGGCATTACCTAAGCGGCCCTGGTGGGCGAGTTGGGGTTGAAGACACATGGCCTGAGCCATCCGACATCCTACAAGGACAGATTCGACCATGTTGACATATTTTTATCATATTTATATAGTGCTCAGCACCACTGCAAGCGCTGCAAGTGATGCAAGAACTTCCTCTTCTTACTCTTCTTGCGCAAACTGCTCACCTGACCAGCATGTTAGCTGGTTTGGAAGCCTTGATTGCTGGTTGTTAATCACCCTGACGATTACCATCGCACTGGACCCGCACTGGAACAACACCACATCCGCCAGAGAAAACCCTGGGGAGCATAGCTGGGGAGCACAGCTGACAAGCGCGCAAATACACCTTCCACACCAGTAGACACCAAGTGAATAGCCAACAATAATGTACCCTAGAAGTCCAAAGACTCTATTTCGCATTCAAGCTAAGTACAGGAAATTCTTCGGGTCACCTAGTCAAACCATTCTTGGAGTAGTCTTGGACTCGCAGGGATCAGCTTTGAGTCCCAATGTTCGGAGATCTGATATACGCCGGCCCAAGCATGGGCACAAAGGCCCGTCACGGCGAAATGGCCTGCAACGCCTGATTGTTGGGCGACTACGTAATTATGAGGGATACCCATAGTTGGGTGGGTACTTCCACCTATGAAATAGTTACACATGGTATGTATGGTACACTACTACCTCGTATGATGGCATATGGGGCCCTTCGGGGGGTGGTCAAAGCCCGTCTTCCGTCGAAGCTGTGATGAAACATCCCTCTTCGTCATCTTCGTCCAACTCTTCCTGCTAATAGTTCTGTGTGTCTTAAGATGCAACGACATTCTTTCAGAATGAACATGGACTGGTCTCCCCGTGGGCCCTGGCAGTCTCCACATTACCCACCCATCTTTCAAATCTTAGCAGCTCAAACCATCGTCCATGGGCATCGGATGAAGTTCCAGTGGCGGGATGCTCCTCCTGTGGCGGCTACCTCTGGCATGCAGAACCCGACAAAATCCGGAAGAAATGTTTATTGCTAGCGGCTAGCGACGAATGGCTGGTACCTGTGTGACACGAATGGGAGGGTCCACCAAACCTAATTGCATCCAATTATCCAATTCATTACTGTAATCGGTAACCGGATCGTATTTGACAGCAGAAGTACATAGAAGTACACTAGCAACCTGTTGGCGCCTCACAAAAGTCGAAATCTACGCCCGAGAACTGCACATCTGACACATACAACAGACTCTTTTTTTTTCATCACGAACATGAACACAGGAAGCGACATGTGATGTGTCTTCTTTGCAAAGCTTGTCGAAGTGTTCCACATTTCAATGCCATTGAATATGTCTGCTCTCTTTCTCCAGCTGACCTATGGAGTCCATAGATTTAACAGGATATGAAAGAATCTCTTAGACGGTGCCGTCGAGGATAGGAGGATACCATTTTTGCATATCTACCGCAGGTTGTCCTGATTTGATCTGCATAGACTTTCCGCCTCGCCATGTATGAGGTGAGGCCCGATGGAAGAACGGAGGATACAGCTCCAGGGTGGCCTGGACCGACCGGTCGGTCGACCGGTTGGTGGGTTCACGAACGAACAAATATTGAGTCTGCGTGTGAATAGCTGGAGCCCTTAAGAGCCGGTTGCCCCGGTGCGTGCCCCCATGTCTGGTAGCTGTGCTCGTAGCTATGCAGCTTGGGCGGTGTGTGGGCAGAACTTGGTGAATCACAGAGTCAATGGCAGGTTCAATAATAATGGTTAAATATGGTCCTAAGTAAGGGTTGAATATCAACATCAACATATCTGAAAACAACCATGAAACAACCACCCAGTCTTGCACGTCTGGAGTCAATGCCGGCCATTGAGATCCATCGAGCTCACCTGTGACTGAAGGCCTGTCATGTCGGCCCCGCCTTATGCCTCCCAACGGGTCCGTCTGGCACACAACAAATGCAACAGGAAACATGTCATCAACTCTCATCTTTGTGTGGCCTGTCAGCCCACATGTTATACATCAGGATCCCCAACCCACACCAAATCATTCCAGTGGCCGAGACGTCTGCTTGGACCACAGGATACAAATGCAAGGCCTGGTCGCAACGTTGCAGCTGGACGAAGCAGACATGGACGAAGCGATCGTCGAGGCTTGGTCGAGGAAACGGTGATTGTCCCAAGTGCTGGCGGGACCTTCTTTCGTTCCTCTGACATGCACACACTTGCGCATGCATCGTGAGGGTCAGGATATGTTTGGATTCTTCCCCATGTCTGTTGAATCTTCTCAATTGGGGACCGTTCACTGGGCGCTTCATGAGGACCGGCTTCCGTGCGCTGTGTGGTTTTAGCCTCGGACGCCTCGTCCGTGCCTGCAACAAATGCAGAAGGAATGGAGGAGGCTGCAGCAGTTGCTTCAAGGGCGAAGTACCTGGTCCGGTTCGTTCCCAGGTCGGTTTGGTCATGGTCTGGGTTTCAGTGATGGACAGTGGACAATCCTTCCTGGAAAGCTATCTGTGAACTGTACCTTGTTAGGGTGAAATACAAGAAATTCATCAAATAAGAGCCAAACATGAAACTCCAGAACTGACAAGAGAATGAGGGTCTGCAGTTCATCTTGTGAACCTTTCGTTGGACATCTACCCAGCTATAGAGATGAACCCGATCCAAAATGCATCTAGTCTTCCGAGTGTCCACGTTAAGGTCCATGTTGCTTTTAGGTTTCTCTGTGTATAATTAAGGGTGTTCTTGGAATCGGTTTTGACCGCTCCAAATTCTATCTCAGGGGTGACAACAATGAGGCTTCTGATCAAAGCTCACCCTCCCCTACTGCCACATGGAACCGACCCTCGGAGCGACCAATTCCGGCCAAAGGGAGGCGCCCTCCGAATCCCTGCCCCCCCAAGGAGCAGGATCCCAAAGACATCGCCCTTGGATGCCTTTAAGGTCATGGGGGGAATTTGCAAAACCTTCCAGCAGTTCCAAATGAAATGGCTGGTGTATAGTCCCCTACAAGTAAGTGAGTGGATGTCCTGTGCGCCACCGATCTTCCCTCTAACTTCAGCACCTCGACATGGAACAGCTGCCAAATCCTGATGGCCCACATGAACCCTCCCCGCCTTGGATGACGTCCTTCAACTTCGCTTCGCCCCGTCTCAGCAGCTTGACCATCTCGCCGACCTCTCTTCGGCAAGACAGGCACGAGATCTGATCCGAACCGATCCAGATCGGTTTGGTTCCTCCAGGTTTGTCGAGAGCATGAGGTTCTGTTGTTCCGAAATGTTCCGAAGAGGTGTCGGATCCTTTGGATCTTTGTGAGTGGCACACACAACTTTGCCACGTGAGCGCTTACGGCGTAGTCGGGTGATAAAATCATGTTCATTTTAGGAACTCCTTGATAAGCATCTGCAGAAACTGAAAGGAGTGATAACATCCCATATTCCGGAGCAACATCCAAACCTCTCGGGGTACCCCTTCCAAACACTGTTTCCCTTCATCTTACCATTTTGTTGTATCTCATGATGCGCCTCTATCGATGCTAGTTGGTTTCCTAAACAAGACTTCGAGAATATATAGCCCCCAGAACATCTCAGAACCATACATGGTTAGTATATATTGTGTATATATATATATCCATATATAGTATATATATATAAACAAATACCATATATGGATATATATGGTTCTTAGGACACTGGGGGCCACATATGGGGCCGTCCCAAGCGGTCCATCCACGCCGATCCCCCGGTCCATCCCGCTGCGCCTCCGCCCAGCTGTGACGCCACAGCTCCAGTAGCGCACCATAGGCCGCCGACCAGGTGGAGATCACATAGGCCAACTGGGAGGAAGAGAAAGTCATTGTTGTAGTAAAGAACTCTTCACAACTGTTGTCGCGTGTCTTGGCGAACTCACACCGTTGCTGTCCTTCACAACTGTTGCTATTTGTGTTTAGCTCTTGCGATTCCCGAAAGGCAATTTTGGGGCCGGGGCTCTTCAGGCTCTTGCTTGTATTGAACAACTCTCCTGACAAACGCAAGGCGTAGGATGTGTGGCTTTTCCCTGGCTGTCGAACAAAAAACCCCAGCGGTTTCCTTGGGATCAGAGACTTGGGGCCGGTGACTACAGGTCTGGACGATGGCAGAAACCACGACGTTGGGACCCTCGGACCAGGTCGTAAGGGGTCGAACAGCACCCTCAAAACGAAAAGGGTGCAAATCCTTAGGGTGAAGAAACTCAAGGAAGATACTGGAACCTTGGCACCTTGGCAGGTAAGATCTGCATGTTGTCCTCTATCACCCTGAACAAAAAGTTGAAAGAACAAGTCCTTCGCCTTTTGTGCCTGGCCTCGCGACTGATCGACTTTGGATCATCCATCAGCTCGAAGGTCAGGTCCTGGACCATCCAAAATAATGTGTGGTCAACTTGGATCGACTCCAATGGAGTTGAGTTGCGTCAAGAGGATCTCTGCAAGGGATTGGTGATTGGTTGTCTTTCTTTGCTTTTTCTGTCCAGGTCGAGGAGTGTGCGTGTGTAGAGTAAGTGCAGCTCTTGGTGGCTTGATGAGATGTGTTAAAGCTGTCATGTCAATGGCAAGCAATATCTGGACATGTGATTAATACAAATTGATAAAGGAGCTTTGCACAATCTGGAAGACCATGACCGCGAAAGTATGGCGTACGGCTGGCGAATTTTAAATGAGGTACAAGTGAAAATGCTCCTGATTTCGTGTTCAGCCTCTCTGTGCCGAAGGACATGGTCAAGGTGGGATGACAAAATGTAATTCCGGGTCATCAGCCCAGGAATGCAATTGTGTACAATTCAACTCCGTGGAATCGTTTAACATTGTTTAACATGCCATGCCATCCATATACCCATAACCATATATTATCATACAGGAAGCATGATGATTCCATAACCATAAGTATATGTATGATTCCAGGAAGTGTAAAATCACATGTTAAAGCAAGCATGCAACCGACCAACCCAAGGTATCCGTTGCAAGGTATCCGTTGTCCAACAGAATGGATCACGATCACCACTCAGGACTGAGCCCACCATCAACCTCTTCGTGGGAAAGCCACATTTCAGGATCCACACACGGACCCTCCTCTTCAGCGACCCATGACCGGGCGCAGCTCCGCGGCTCCTTCATCCGAGCACCTTCTTGATATTCCCCATCCGGGCTCCTGGCCCACCTCCGTTCCGAAGGTGGTTGGGTGGCTAACCATTGAACCTGAGGATATGGTTGGAGCCCTAGGGTTCAATCCTCCCACGGAGCTGGTGACCCCAGCTACGTCCTGCTGCACTCGGATGCTGGCAGCCATGGGCAAAGCCTGCGGATGCGTCTACTTCTCACCCGTTATTTCAGGCGTGCATGTCTTTCAAAGAATCTGAACCTCATTGCACTTGTTCTTCACAGTTTTTGATACATTCATCATTCACCTCTTTTGTTTGCGCTACAAGTAATGATATAGGAAACAACAGCTTGGTAAAACCATGAGTAAACCATGGACGGTTCCCTTCAGCTGGGTCCAACAGCTCTGGTCCGCCCCGCCTCCAGCTGTCGAAGCAGCACGAACTCGGATGCCACCGAGGGTTCAGGAGCCCATGGACCTCCGGTTCGCGAAGCCGCTTTTGAAGAACGACGGGTTGGAGCCCGCATTTCATCTCAATTGGGTAGAGAAACGATAGGTCTCAGCCTACATCCATTTGCTGTGTGAGGGGGGAACCATTGAAACCATTCGATGCTCTGCCAACAAAACATAGATCGACTGTAAGTATCATGAAGTCAGTGAAGATTGTACTGATGATCACCCAATTCCGGGCTATGCTCGAGATGCTTAAGGCCATAACAGTCAAAAGTTGTTGGAAGATGTTGGAAGATGGTAACCATGTCTGACACATTCAAACACAGACCCTGGGCCTTGCTGGAAAAATCCTGCACAATAGAATATTTTCTCACTTCTTGGTTTATTTGTAGCTTGAATTTGTAGGATTGATGTCAGATTGGTGCCAGGTTTCCTCTACTTGCACGGCCAGAAAGCCTGCAATCTGCTCCACAGAAGGCAAAGTTCGCAAGAAGAGGAGGATGGCACCTAGATGCCATCCAGACAGCAAGAGCCTCAGCTCACCGCTACGAGTTCGTGAGCTGCGAGCTGCGAACTCGTAGCGGTGTTGAGAACCGCGAGTTTGATGCAGTGCTCGAGTTGGTGAGTGGGTCATGATCTGAACTACTCAAATTGATGCACCAGTTTCGGGAAAGTGTCCTTCTTCAATAAACATCTGTGTGACAATAAGAGTTGTGCAGTTTGAACTATAAAGCAACCAATGAGAATACCGGCCATCAATGGTACGAGTGATGAACAGTCAAAGAACTTCACAATGAACTCTCCTGATCTCTCCTGAGGGAATTTCTCTGGAGCACTTGCTAGGCTGATTTGATTGCCTACACTGACGGCATATTGTTTGACAGGACGTGACCGCACTGACTTGTCCATTGCAAATGGATGTACACCCGGGAAAAGACCCACATGGAACCTGAAAATGGAACTGGAAGGCTATTTTCCTCTACAACCCCATGGTTTTCAGGATTCCATGTGGGTCTCTTCCAGAGCGTAGCACGTTCTGCAGCATGTAGCTCGATCACCCAAGACTGACCCGCTTCCTTTGCGACTTGTTGAGTTTCCGACCCTTTTCCATCTGTTCGGTCGTTCGTGGGGTGTCCCCCGTCTCCGGCCCGTCTCATCACGGTGCGCAGGTGATCCACGGTCTTCCGGTCACTGGGTACGGTGGGACGGAGATGAAGAGACGCCAACGTCACCCTCCACGAGGCAACGACCTGACCCGCGGGTTCTTCTCCGGTGTTTGATGCCAAGAAGCTCATCGATGGTGATGGGGCTCCTCAGATGTCTCGGAAATCGGCTCGAAAGGAACACCATTGGTCACCCAAATAGCAAGTGGCCTTTCATTCCACTTCCATGATTCTTTCAGTCTGAGATTGTTTTTCAAGCTTGCCAAGCTTCCAACATCACCTTCATCATGGACGTGAGAAGTCTATGTGTCGAAAAGGAATCTTGATGTGAGCAAAGCCAAAACCATTGTAGACGTGGCATATGAGGATATCTGTCTGTTCCAAAACCACTTGGTGCAAATGACGATGAGGGTCTTTACAGAATGTGCTCGATTCATTCACGATGTCCACCGGGAAGTTCACCAACCGGTCACGGAGGAATCAACCGTTGTTTTGACCCAAGGGCCACTCTGGACCCGACCCCACAGCTGCATGTTGGTTCGGTCCATGTCACCCTAGTTGTGTGGGGTCCAAACCTGGACTGCGAACTGAGGGTCCGAACTCTGAGCCGATTTCCGAATCGGAAGTGTTGAGGCAAACTCGACTCAGTAACAAGAAGCTACTAGTTAGTATAGTTCCATGGCATTACCTACTATAGGAACAAGAAGCTACGAACGTAAGAAAGGGCATCGCTACTACGTGCTGAGTTCGCACGAAAGGGCCTCGTAGATCCATGCGACTCCGAAATCCAAGTCGTCCCCGGCTTCGCACGAAATACGTTCGTAGCGATGCACTTGTTACTATATAGTACAAGTAGCTTCTTGCTACCAGTACTAGTAATTGTTGCAGAATGTCGTTCTTAAAGTATTTCCAAACTTTGCCAATCCAGTAGGCTGCCTGAGAAGACAAAACAACGGTTTGAATATTGGCAAGAAGAGGCAGAAAAGATCATACGATATGGGCCATATGGGAGAAGCTCACAATCCCCAGTAACAGTAATATAGGTGATTTATCTTGTTGGAACGTGCACCGCTGGTGATTGTTCGAACCTGTCCTGAGAAGGATGGAGAAGAGCTCCTCAGCCAGGTGCCAGCCCTGCTGGAGGATTTTCTCCGAGCTTCTTTTCGCACCTGGAAATGAACTGGTCGCATCCATCATCATGGAGATCGTTTCATGGGTTATAACCTACCATCTGAGTGGAAACAAGCGATATCACAAGGAAAACTGCAAAAACACCAAATTCTGCCCGCAGTCTGTTCTCCCCACCTGCATAGGCGAGGAAGACCAGGGATGCCATCAAAGCACCGATGAAGCACTCCCCTGCGCGCCACCTGAAGCACCAGGGCTCAGGCCGTGACATGCCGTGACTCGGCGAAAACACCTGTTTCGGACTCCGGCGACGTCTTACCTCTGCAAGGCTCGAACCGGCGATGTCTTACGCAGAGCCCTGGGGTGTTTTTTGAGGTGTGTCCTTTTGTTCTCCGGCGATGCGTCCGGTGTTGCGTTCGGAACACCGGCCGACCCGAAGAATCATTGGACTTGGTCCAGTCCAGGAATCTCACTCAGGCAAGCCGCAACGAAACATCTTCCTGATCGACTTAGTCTCTTTGAATGGTCACTTTATGTATTTTTCTTCCTCACTGAAAGCACCTGGTCTGTCAGGACCTTCCCAACTACTGTGTACGAATGTGTACGCAATGTAACCTTCATGTTATGTGTATATATATATATATACCCTAGTGCTCCAGAGCATCTCTGAGAAGGTATCCGGAAAATCATCTTCTGAGGATGGGTTCGGACGGAAAGTTCTCTGAGGTTGTGCCCGGCCCCCGGGCGCGTGCTCAGCAACTTCTGGCTCACATGCCCTTTTTTTTCACGAGCCTGAACGTCTGGTATAGCTATAGCCTAGCTTAACCACCAAACGCCAACCATCTCATGCGGACCATGTCTGGAAGATTAGTCAGTTTTGGTGACCATTCATGTGTTCTTGGGAAAACCATGTACGCGTTAAATTCTAACTTTTGCTGAGGGAGGTCCCGGAGCCAAAACCTCCTGAGAAAGGCCCCGGACTCCAGACACCCTCTGAGAAGGTATCCGGGAGCCCTTGGGATATATATATATATATATATCGGATGCACCTGATCCTCCACCCTGGAAGCCGAGTATCTTTCAAGATACTATATATATATATTGTATGTGCAATGCGTGTATGTTATGTATATATACATATTCTGAAATTATCCAACATATTATGTGTCAATGTGTCAATGCAATGGCCTTGGCAAAAACCTCCCGTCAGCGGGTGCAAAGGCGCCGCTTTGCGTTTTCTATTGGTCAACCTGGCGCAACTGCGCCTGTGCCAAGAAACAACTAGAAACAACTCAACACCTGGACATACCTGGACCATTTTGACTTCCCAAGAGTTAGACATGTTGGATCATTCCTGCGAAACTCGCTGTGGCTATCTTTATGCAGGTTCAGCAAACGCCATTTGTTTCACGTCGATTTGCGCGATTGTATACAATCGTTTTGAAGCCTTTCCCGGCAAAACGAGGCATCATTATTTTTTAGTGACGAACATTATCTTTCAGCCCGCTGCTGCAGCTTTGCTTCCCCAGTGCATTGCATGAGATCTTTGCCCGTGTTTTCCCACCTCCAGCTGTATCTTAGGAGACACTAGAACATACAGCACCACTAGAGGGTTGACAGCACCACTAGAACTGAACGACGTACGAACTTCCCCAACCTGCCACTTTTTGTTGAGCACGCACTTTCCCAACAACAGATCGGCGCGAAAAGGAGGCAACCGTCCGTGCTTTGCGAACGCCTCAAGGACTCGGAGTCTGGAAGCTCGTGGAAGACCCTTGCATAAATGATTCCTGTCCCTGGGCGACCGGTGCGGCGGAAACATTTCACAAGAAGCTACGGCTGTAGCTCCTGGCATTACTACTAGTATCAAGAAACTACTAGGTGGAGGCCATTGCTAATAGGTTGGAGGCCATCACTACGAACAGAACAAGAAGCTACTATATAGTAACAAGAGCATCGCTAAGAACGTAGCAAGAGCATCGTGAACCTGGGCGAAAGATGAGCACAACATAGCACAACAGTGTTTGGCAGCCAAGAGGGCATGGGACTTCTCATGGATTTGAGGTGATTTCCGTGGTGTTCGAGAAGAACTTCAAGAAAGCTGTGATGCACATAGCTTGGATGGCACAAGCTTGGAAACGGTCTTCAAAATATGATTTGGGATAGCCTCAGGAGACTGTCTGGCATGCTTCTACACCCCTGCGCCTATATCGAACTGGCCATTGGCTGACAGCAAAAGCTTCCTAAACTCTTGATGAACTCTCCTGGTCCTTGTCTAACGAATAGAGGCCAGTACGGCAACTACATCGGAACACCCTCTCTGCATCCATGCCCCTTCCTGCAATTTTTGATAGGCACAGAATCTGCACCGCTTCTGCCGTGCACCGAGCTGCTTAAGACCGTCCGCATGATAGGCACAGAATTTCAGTGCCATGAACAGTTTATATGTTTTCCTGGAGATCCTATTTGGAGTCTTTGACCAAACAGCCCAGCCTGTCATGCCAAAAGGACTGTCCAGTGTTTTTTTTTGTGCTGTACCAAGCAGCTGCTCTGCACAAAAGAACTACATCGTTGAAGCAAAAAAAATGACTACCGCTCACATGTTCTGAGGACTGTTTTCCGGGGTGAACCACTTCAACTGCTCCATACTGTTTCATGGTGCCAACCTATCAGCTTCCGCAATGACGCTTACTACATGATTCTGGCCCCCGCCATGTGCTTTCCAGTTGTAGAGTTGCTGGCGACGAAAGCCAGGCCCCAACCCGCCAGGCAACTTCTTCCGTAAGGATGCGTGTCCAAGGTTAGGCAACTAAGGTCTTGCTCCACTGGTGCCAGACATAACGCATTTGGAGCACCGCTCGTCCGCAGCAGTCCGGGCAAGTGTGCTAAACGCCTAAAACCGTCTCCTTCCGGACTGCTCCACCCACCTTCACCGACCATCTTAGCTCTGATCCCAGGCTCGTAGCTCTGACCACACTTTGCCCCGATCTTGGCATCGGAAGATATCACGTGGCACCTGCCAAGCGCCACACGCACATCGTATCACAGCGAGACGTGGCGAACTACTGGACTGCTGAGAGCAGTCTAGTTGTGGGGAGGAAGAGGACCAAAGCCCGAAGGCACTTGAAATCATGGAACAGTAACAGCTACATGTCGAAGAAAACGGAGTACACATGAATCAACACAGCCATCTATAGTACAAGAAAGCAGATAGGACGGAGGACATACAGTTTAGAGCATCCTTGCCTTGCACGGGGTTTCTTTGGCATTCGCAAAGGTGTGACTCAAGGGCTGTCAGAAGCTTCTGCAAAGCTCTAGAGAGGCAAGCTCAGCTTGCTTACAGCAAAGTGCTATCAAGGATCAAACATAACCGAACTAGATCAAATCAATCAACCACTATCAACAGAATAGACACATAAGACACACATATATGGGTTTCGGACGCTTTCGGCTATAGGATTGAATCCTTCCGAATGTCCGAACTCGGGTGAATCTCCACCTGGCTGGGCTCACAGCATGCCTTGTAACGATGGAGGCCTCAGGCCGAGGCACCAACACCCGCTCAGACCGATGCCTGCTCTTGCAAAGCACTTCTTTGCAAAATCATACGAAGTCACGCCATAAAAAAATAAATGATAATAAATGTATATATTATATATTTGGTACTAAGCTCAAGTATACTATTATGTGGGGGCTCTATTTCGTTTAGACTACTTAAGTAGGAGGTCTCGTTCAGCCTACTTTAGCAGCAAATCACACTATCTCGTTCAGACTACTTTAGTGTCATCACGCAAAAGTATCTCGTGTATGTGGGGGCGCTATCTCGTTCACAAGCGAATATGATGATAGACAAGCAAATAGAGCGTGCCGTAGACTACTTTTAACATTTAGTAAAGGCTAAATATAAGTGACCTTACCCCAAAATCCTGTAGAATTGTCCATGGACAGTTGCTCTTTGCTCTGTCAAAGTCAGGCTCCAGGCTTCCAAAGCAGCTGCCATGGCCAGTGCCATACTCTGATTTGGCCTTAGTGTCACGTCTCATGGACTGCAACAAAATGTAAAAGGCATCGTCTCTCTGGAGATCCGGTGCTCTAGCTGTCTCTTCACTGCAGGACACAACATGACACAAAATGTTATGCAAATGAAAACAATTTCCATCATCTAAGTCGCTCAAAAAGACCTGGGTGAACCTCAGTGAACCAAGGCCATCCATCTCTGCTTGCTGGATGTCTAAACTTGTTCACCCTGGTGTCCAGAGACAGAAAGCCTGCACGACCAATGCCACTGGTCGTTAAGGGAACGAATGGGAACGGCATCGGACTCACCCCTCGACCAGTCGAGTGTCAGCACAACAATGTTCCCAGGTCTGATTCGCCCAGCAGCCTTGGGCGTACATGCCCTCCGGGCGCCACCGAAAAACGTCGCTTCGACCGGTATCCAGGGGAGAACGAAGACCATGGTGGGTGCATGTCCTGCTGAACTGATGTTGTCGTGAGATCAATCAACCACACGAACTCGAAGCTTTTTTTTGGTAGTTTGTTGTTTGGATGCCCCATGTGTATGAACCAAGCTGGACACCCAAAAGGAACAAGCTTATGACATACGCGTCGTAGCTCATTTCGAGTTGCTTTGGAACATGGGAAGGTGGATCAAACTGCATGCCTCTTCTTCCCAAGTCTGAAACGGTCTCTAGATATCATTATGGGAACCAAAGTATGGTAAGCGCATGTAAGCACCACCCATATAAATATAATATAAATATAAAAGTATATCTACAGTATGCTGCATACACACTACTAGCAGCCCAAACTGGCTCTTGGTTCACACTGACGCATCAACATGAAGGGGCCTCATTTGAAGAAGGTGACAGAAACCCTTTGCCGAACCGCTCGCCCAGGTCTTAACCCATGGCTAGCCAGCCGGATGCTTGGATGCCTAGCGTACCAAAACCTGCACACACCACACCACACCACACCACCAGCGTTCACCGCTCGCGGTTTCGTGGTGCGACTCTCGTCGCACCTGCGCCGAACCGCGCCGCTCCGTCCGCCAGCGGGCCGGCCATGGGTCGGTCATCCACCGCCGGGCCGACGGGCGAAGTGGGGAGCGAGCTCGGTGTGAAACTGAGCGAAGTGGCGAATTCATGAGAGGACCATGATCAGGAAGGTGAAGCGAAGTTGAAGGAATGTTTCCGGATTTCAATGGAAACACCGTGGAAGATCAATTCAAAAACAGGTTTGAACACATATAAAAAGGCTCTCCACTGACTGGGTAGGAAGTCAATGCAGGTGTCTTTTGGTCTTCCTAATGGTCTTCCTTGGGGTGGGGATCACTGGATATGGATGAGTCATTGATGGAAAGAACAAACATTTGGAGACACGGATGATCTTTGTGCTGGACATGGATTGGTGCAATGGTGCAATGCATTTCACGATCCACACCCGCTCTACAAAGAACATCGTTTTGAAGGCCTTGAAGGACGCCCGTGTGCTTCTTCCGACGGAACATCGAACGGTATACCCCTTGTCTCACGAGACGAAGGCTTTTGTTGCATTTTATTGCGTCATTCGGACAGAACCCTATTAGGTTGGAGGCCATCGCTATCCGTTGCTCGAAGGAATTGGATTGTTCGAACGTTGCTTCATTTTTAGGCCTTGCTTATTATTGCCCTTCAAACATGTTGCAAACGCTGCAGGATCCGACTTGTGAGCAAAACGACGAAACCCGACCGAGATGAGATCCAAATCCGCGAAAAAGGGAGGTGGAAGAAAACAGGGATGGCGTCTTTACCCAAGTAACTAAGGTGTTTCTATGTGTTTCTCATTTGACTTTACACAATATGATGTAATCTCACTGGGTCAGTGACATAGGTTTGTGAGAGCTGCTCCCATCTCCTCTGTATTTGTCTCAATTATTATACCTTCCTCATGGACTATGCCCTGTACGGTTTGATCTCTGTTTTCCAAGACGAAGCCACAAACGCGGACCTCCGGTCGTCCGCAGTGCTGAACGTCGTTCTTCGAACGCGGCCCCCGGTAGTCTTTCCACCTGTTTTTCCCGCTTCGTCGTCCCAAGGGACAAGGATTGGCCGGAGCCTGGGGAAGAAAAACAGGGCCAACCTGAGGGCTGGCAAACACTCCGGTGACCTTCTTACTTCTCCTCTCCCACACGCAAGATCTCTCAACAGCGATCCAAACAAGCACAATGACAATATCCGAACTATATTCTTCCTTCAGCAAGTTGACTGGCAGCGGCTCCTCCAGAAACGCAGAAACCCAGTACCTTGGAGAGGCAGTCGCTTGGAGAGGGCTCCGGGCTCTGGAGCGGAGGTAGACGGAACCGTGGATATCTGTGGTTCACAGAAACCCATGGTATCCTGGAACCAAAAGGAAGCAAGGGAACCATGAAGAGGGATAGCTCACTCCCGGCAGTATTGGATGGTGTTTCTTTTGCGTCGAGTTCTTTTTTCGGCAACAGGGACAGGGTACACCTGTGAGAAAGCATCACACCGAAGCACCCTGGTTTTTTCACAAAGGATCTAGAATGACAACACCCTCTGTAAGCACTTGTCACAAATATTAAAACATGGGGACTCTGCTTAGTGCAGGATGTCATCCATGAAATAGGTCTGCTCAGTAGGTCTGCGCAGGCCCGAAGACCCTGCGTCAGAACTTGATGTGCCTCAGTTGCCACTTACGACCGGGGCCAAGTAATGAAACAGCTGTGCATCTTTGGTCTCACAGGCCCATTGAAAGCTCTGCAAGCTAAACAAAGCTCCTCTGCACGGCTGGCTACTGCGCAGCTCTTGCACATGCCACCAGCCCCTGAAACTGTGATTGGCAGGCATGAAGATTAAGCTCCTTCTTGATTTGAGAAGGAACCCGGGCAAAGCACTGACTGTCAGCCTTGGGGAAATGGCAGCTGCTTGGTAGTTGGTACCGATGCTGGAACACTGTCTTTCTGCTGTTGCTAGAGTAGGTGAAACTTTTCCCACATCCGTTCCACCTCCCTAGGAACAGCGGATCCTGGGAATTGGTTTTCCCACGACTATATATATATATATTATATGAACAGGTGGACATCAATGGTGCTTTCCATTTGCACGAAGACTCACAAAAACATGTCACGAGGACAACAACAGCCTCTTGGGAGGACAAACACGCCAATGCACTTATATAGGTTCCTTTTGCTATTAGGTTGGAGGCCATCGCTCTTAGGTTGGAGGCCATCGCTAGTAGGTTGGAGGCCATTGTGCTTGGTGACCCTCAGATGATCCCTGCAGCTTCGCCCGGGTGTCTGCTATGCCTAAGGGAATTTGCTATGCCACTGGCAGTGAGCAACTGGCTTGGTGGCTTTCAACAGGGTGGTATTCTCTTGGGCTTGAAAGGAAGGAACATGACACATCTGCAACAACCAACTAGTCAGTCCTGTCTGCAAAGACATTGTGTTCCACTTGTACAAATGTCTGCTTGCGCAATGACATTGAGACTCACCGGAACCTCAAACAGGACTGAGATTGCTAGGGTGCAAATGCTAGGGTGCAAATGCACCTCTTTGCATCCTTTTTAGTGTGCTGACCCGTCACATGCAAGGATCAATCACCTCTTCATAGGCCTCCCATCCGTCACTGTAGAGTTGCTGTTTCATGTTCTCCAAAACAGCGGTGGTTGTCAGTTGCTCATCTTTCAAATGCAGTGGCCAATTGCACACCTACACGATCCATTCAAGACGTGCAACGTCGGCAACAAACTGATAGTTTCACTTTTTGCTTCTGGTCACTGTCCACGTCAGCCTCAGCAAAAGAGTCCTAGAGCTTTTTACAGTAGAAAACCAATAAATTGACATCATTGACTCTCAGATACTTGCGGATACTTGCAGTGATATGAGGTGTCCTGATTTCACTCCAACTTAAGTGGCCCAGTTCGTGCCCAAATACCAAACTGTGTAAACACCGAAATGGTCGATCGACTGTCCGATACTGCCCGTCCTTGCTGATAATGTCAATTTGGGATTAACAATCGTTATACTATTCTCGGGAAAAAACACACGTGTGTTGTTTTATCATATTGTTTGTTGATCTCTTGCCTTTCATTCATCCTTGGTGGCTTTCTAGTCCACACTTCTTTTCTTTATTCATGGGCATTTCATGGATTTGTTAATTAGAAATCATTGTTGGGAATGTGCGGTGGAAATCCCGTTGTGAAAACCGTGCAACAGCTATCAACTGCAATCCATAGATGCTGAACCGTAGAGGGTGAACCCCCCTGAAGGCCCTGTAGCATGCATTCATGTGATCGTGCATAACATTGCATAACATAATATAAAGGTAAGGAATCTTTGGTTTGTTTACTTCGGAGTTCTTCAGGGGTCTTGCCTTTTTCAATCCAACACTGATCCCTCCCCAATACTCGCCTCCCTTGAATCAATACTGCTAGGAATCCTCTCCAATAATGCCCTCAAGTGTCCACACATGTTTCACTTTTGGGGAATGGGCCACCTCTTAATCAATCATAGAACCAATCCGTTTCTCATGGTTTAACTCCTCTCTTTCTCGGCCGAATGAAGCTCCAAGAAATGAACACCTGTCGACGCCGCAGTCCCACGAAACAATCACATGCCGAGACGTCCGAGCATCACACCCATCCAAATTCCGACTGTGGCGATGTCTTGTGTTTAAAAAGTTACCGACTGTCTTGTGGGTGCTGTGAAGAAGTTTTGGTTCCGCTCTCCAAGAAGTATCATATTGTATCATCTTATCAAATAATCATCATAGGTCCGCGAAACAAAACTAAACACCTACAGTAGGACCTTGCACTTACAACTTAAAATCCCCAAATGTTTTGTTTTATCATTGGGCCCAGTGGAAGCCCAAGTTACCTCTGCGCATCGCTACAGTCTTTTCGAACGCGTCTCAGAAGCATCGTTCGCAGGCAGCGTTGATCCTTCTTCACTGCCGGGTGTGACCAAACGGATTCTGCTCATGGCTCTGAGACTCTGACCTACCATCTCTTTGCCAAAAAGACTGACTGAGTTCCTTGCAAATCCTTTCATATTTGGATATATTTGGTAACCCTGTGGCACTGGACACGTTACTTGTGAATCTTCCTGGTGCTCTAAGAGCTTGCCGTGATCATTTAATAGCCAAGGCCACCCAGAGCCTGTGGCTGTCCATGCACAGATCGAGAGATGCTCACGTCGGGCGTCGTTTGCACCCAACAGAAACATCAAGACCTTAGAGTTGGCTCGATCGCGCCACCGACGAGTCCTGCTCGTGAGGCCCTCAAGTGAGGGATTAGACAAAAAGAAATGACAAACCTAGCTTTGTCTGTTTCTGTTTCTAATAGCGATGGCCTCCAACCTAATAGCGATGGCCTCCAACCTACCAGCGATGGCTTCCAACCTAATAGCAAACTATAAACGCTGCATTAAAATGATGATGTACAGTAAATCTCTTGTGTTGATCCCCGATCAAGCACATGGCAGAACAGTGCCTCCCCAAGTTCTACCCAGTTCCCAGTTTCACAAAAATAAGTTAAAAACCACCTGACTCATACAAAAGTGTTTAAGGATATGTCACCCCAAAACTGGTGCGGGAAATAAACGTGATTTGCGCTCGCCCTAGGGATCCAGTCGTTCCGTACCTCAGAAGGTACGACTGGACCCTCCTGGCACCTACATAACCGTGTCTCCAACCACCGAACCTGAGAAGGTAGTTGGATCCCTAGGGTTGGTCTATCAATCACAGCATCAAACTAGCTGAAGCCGCTGAAGCCTTTTCGATCCGATCAACCCAAAACGGTCTCAGCTATATGCAAACACTTCCAACGGCAATGCATACCAAAACACAGAGATTTCACACCAAACCCTACAAGTCCAGTCTGATCCAGTAAAACCTAGTCTTTTTACTTCCTTGAGTAGTGTTTTTGTAAAACCAACTCCAGTAAAATGAGGTCTTTGACCTGTAGGGAAACATATAGCAGTAGGACGGCGTCTAAACACAAATAACATCCTGTCTGACAGTGGGTTTTTGAATGCAGCTAATTTGTCTACCTGCTCAAAGACCTT